TACAGGACTTTCCAACTCATAGCCCCAAGGGGTTTCCAAGGCTGTAATTTTTACGGAGGCAGACTGCCACATCTTTCTCCCACAAGAGTGACCGGTGGGTTCGAACCACCGACCTTTTGGTTAGCAGCTGAGTGTCTAACCACTGCACCACCAGGCTCCTTTTAATATCAGTTACAGCAACAGAGGAAGAGCTAGTGTTTACGGAACACTTACAGTGTACCAAGCACTGTGCTGAACACATCCACAGATTTTCTTATTGCCCCATCATCTCACAGAGGCAGAATATAGGAGTTGAGAGCATGGGCTCCAGAGTCAGATTGCCTGGGCTCAAAGCCCAGCTCCACACCTCAGAGGGTGGATGGCCTTGGACAGGTGACTGGCCTCAGTTTCCTCCTCCATAAAATAGGGGACAAATAAAAAAAGTACCAACCTCACAGCACTGTTGTGAGTAATGACACATCAGTGCTCAATAAATGTAAGATTATTACCCACATGGTAGATCCTGAAAAATGTTAGTTCCCTTCCTTTGTCCTTTCTCTAGTCCTGGGGGAGTCCCTCCCACGTGAAGAGCTCAGGAGGTGTCATGGATTGAATTATGTCCCCCAAAAAATGTGTGTACCAATTTGGCTGGGCCATGATTCCCAGTATTGGTGGCTGTCCCCCATTTTGTGATTGTAATTTTATGTTAAAGAGGATTAGGGTGGGATTGTAACACCCTTACTAAAGTCACATCCTTGATCCAATGTAAAGACAGTTTCTCTGGGGTGTGGCCTGCATCACCTTTTATCTTACAAGAGATAAAAGGGAAGGAAAGCAAGCAGAGAGGGGGGACCTCATACCATCAAGAAAGCAGTGCCAGGAGCAGAGCGCGTCCTTTCGACCTGGGGTCCCTGCGCAGAGAAGCTCCTAGTCCAGGGGAAGATTGATGAGAAGGCCAACAGAGAGAGAAAGCCTTCCTCTGGAGCTGACGCCCTGAATTTGGACTTGTAACCTACTAGACTGTGAGAGAATAAATTTCTCTTTGTTGAAGCCATCCACTGGTGGTATTTCTGTTACAGCAGCACTAGATAACTAAGACAGGGGGAAAATACTCTAGGGGGAAAGGCTGGGTACGGGGAGGTAGTGCCTTAGCTGGTTTCCCTGGGTTTGTTCCACTTAGGGAGCCCTGGTGGTGCAGTGGTTAAGCGTTAGGCCGCTAACCAAAAGGTCAGCAGTTTGAATCCACTAGCCTCTCCTTGGAAACCCTATGGAGCAGTTCTACTCTGTCCTATAGGGTCGCTATGAGTCAGAATCGACTTAAAGGCAGTGGGTTTTGGGGTTCCAGTTAAGGGGATCAGGGTCAAAGTCTCTTTAAGATGCATGCATTTGGCTTTATCCCTTTTGTTACTATCGGATTAAAGTATACCAGCCACTTATATGCCTCTGGACCTCAGAGGTAAGGCGTTATTCCGGTTCTAATGCATTTAGCGTAAAGGTGGGCCCCTTCTGAAATGCATGAAGCTCAGCAGACCAGAATTAGAGCCTCATTGTTGTGTAGGTTGAGCATTCTATTAGGTGATGCTTCCTGAATGTGTTAATTTCGTAAACTTTTGCCTTTTTTCCCTTTATTTCTGTGAGATAAGGCTAGCAAGCATAATTATGGCTTTCCTGTGTTAGAGTTAGGGAGCCCTGATGGATTTGTTTTGTTTTTTTTCTGTGTCGTATTTGGAAAACCAGAGGTTCCCCATGTAGCCTAATGGAAAGGTGCCCACAATAAATTAACTATATAGCTCTCACTGGTATGTTGTCATACCACAGATCGGTGGTGCCACAGTGCCATTTGCCTCATTGGTGGCTTGTATTATCAGATCGTATTTCTCAAAATCCATATTACCATCCAAAAATTTAAACACACTCAACTAGTAAGCATGCATTCCAATACTGAAAACACACGCCATCAAAAAAAAAAAAAAAATTTAAGGAGAAAAATGCAGTAACGAAATTAAGGGGGCGGAGTCAAACAGAGTGGAGAGAAGGGGTGGAAGGTAACCACTAGGAGACTCCACTGGTCTGAAATTTGGTCTTCCCTAATCACAGCCCTCCCTGCTCACTCTGCCCAGCCCTCCCCACCTCCAAGGCTTTGCAGTGCTCTTCCCCCCACCCCCACCCCAGCTAGCACGCTGTGATCTTGTTCCCGTTCTCCCCCAGTTCGCCTAAGAACATTCCCTGAGGACGCTCCTCACCAGAGGCCCTTTCTCTGCACTCCCACAGCTGTCAGTGAGCCCCTCCCTCCATACAGCACGGTGCAGAGAACAGCTGTTCACTGTCTCAGTCCCTGTCACAGCACACTCTGGGAGGCCAGGGCCATGTCTATCCTGACCACTGCCATATCCTCAGCCACTGGAAGGGTGGCTGTCCTGGAGTCAGTCCTTGGTAAATATTTGTTAAACAAATGAATGGGACAAAGTGTCCTGTCTTAGTTACCTACTGCCGCTACAACAGAAATACCACAAGTGGATGGCTTTAACAAACAGAAACTTATTCTCTCATAGTTTAGGAGGCTAGAGGTCCAAATTCAGGGTACCAGCTCTAGAGGAAGGCTTTCTCTTTCTGTCGGCTCTGGGAGAAGGTCCTTGTCTCTATTCAACATCTGTGGGCCCAGCGTTCCTTGGAGATCTCCACGTGTCTTGATATCAATCTTCCCCTGGGTCTAGGAGGTTCTCAGCGCAAGGACCCTAGGGTCAAAGGACACACTCTGCTCCTGGCTCTTCTTTCTTGGTGGTAGTGAGGTCCCTCTACTCTCTGCTCATTTCTCCTTTTATCTCTTGTAAGATAAAAGGTGTGACTCAAGCACGGGTGTGGCTTGAGTAAGCGAGTTGACTTAAGTAAGGCCGTGACTTGAGTGAAGGCATGACTCAAGATAAACCCCACATTATTCCTGCCTCATTAACATACAGAGGTTTAGGATTTACAACACATAATTACACAATACTACAAAATGGAGGAAAATCACACAATACTGGGAATCATGGCCTAGCCAAGTTGATATATCTTTTGGGGGGACACAATTCAATCCATGAAGGTCTCCAGCCACTGTGACTGAGACCTGGATGTCCTGAGTAGTGGACACCTGTGGTCCTTCCTTTGCAGCATGCATTCCCTCTTCTGGTAACAGCCCACCCCTCAAACACAATTTTCCATTGGGCACCACCCCTCCTTCCCTCTCTGTCCAAGGGTTTGAGTGGGGATGACCCCACTATCTGGCCTGAGGGTAAAGCAGGTGACTCAGGCCAGACCAATTAGAGCATTGCAGTCCTTCTACTGGACTAAGTCACTGGTTCAGGGGTGTTCTCATGACTTAAGCTAAACCAGTGAAAGTCATAACCAGGATTTTAGTTGGCAGTATTGGAAAGAGGCTCCATCTTTCTGCTCGGATTACTATATTTATGAGATACAAGGTTCAAGCTGTGCATGGTGACCATCTCTGTTACCACTTGGGGAAAAGCTGCCTGAGAATGAAGCCAACACAAAGGGAAACAGAGAAAGAAAAGGGGGAGAGGATGACTGACTTCCTAATGATATCATTTGGCCACCTAGATCCAGCTGTGCCTGAAGCAAACATAGTGGTAACTCACCCAGCACTCATTTCACCCATTTGAGAGTTTTTTACTTATTCCTAGCTCCTGACATCTCCTGGCCTTGCTGATTAATTCAGGAGAGAGAACACAACCTAGGCTGGTCCAATCAGACAGAAGGTTGGGACTTTAGTCAGCAGTTGAGAAAAGAGAAGCCTTTTCTCCCCCGTATGAGAAGGAGGAGCTTCCTGGGTGGTACACACAATTTGCGCTCATCTACCAACCTAAAGGATGGTAGTTCAAACCCACTCAGTGCTGCTGCAAAAGAAAGCCCTGGAAATCTGCTTCTGTAAAGATTACAGCCAAGAAAACCCTACAGAGCAGTCCTACTCTATAACACATCCAGTCAGAACTGGCTCGATGGCAATGGGTTTGGTTTTTGGTTTACGTGCAGGAGGAGCTGACAGCTTTCTCAGTATCATGAGGGAAGTCTGCTCAGGGACAAAGTCAACATGTGGAGAGGGACAGTGCTCAGATGATCACAGAGGAAGAGAACTCAGCCCTGATGACATCAGCACCCCTGGATCAAACATACCTGAAGTCCATGCCACAGCCGCACTTTTCATTTACAGGAGCTGGTGTATTTCCTTACTGTTTGGACTGATGTGGGTGGGTTTTTCTGGTACAACCCAGAGCACCCTGGCTGATGCACCTGGACTTTTCAGATACATGAACTAATCAACCCCCCTTAATCAAGCATTAAGTAAACACTTAAGCCAGCTGGGATGCTATCACTTGCAATTGTAAGAATCTTGAATAAGCCTGCCTTTCTTTTGCACACTATGCTCTAAGGTGCTAACCCCATCCCTGTATCCAGGGTCCTACTGCTCCATCGGACCACCCAGAACCCTCCACGGCCCCTCTGACACCAGGTCTCACCAGCTTCCATCTTCAAAGCAGGCCTCTATGGCAGGGGCCAGCAAAGTGTACCCGTAAAGGGTCAGGTAGTAAATGTTTCAGACTTTATGGGTCATATGGATTCTCCTGCATCCATTCAACTCTGCCTTTGTAACTCGAAGGCAGCTGAAGACAATATGTAAATGATAAGCATGGCTATGTCCAATAAAACTTTATTTATGGACACTGAAACTTGAATTTCACATGTCACAAAATATTCTTCTTTTGTTTCTTTAAATCATTTCAAAACGCAAGCTGTTTGACCATACATAAATAGGTGGGGGAAAGGATTTCACCTGTGGGCCATAGTTTGACAACCTCTGCTCTAGGGTCTCAAGGTGCCTTTGGATATGGGCTACCCCTGCCCAAAACTCTGTTAGGACCCTCCCTCCTTTGTCGCCCAACTGGGCTGAAGTGCTGAAGTCCCAGCATGCCTTGGGGCTCTTGTGCCTGACAGTGCTCTTGCCATGAAAGTCAAAAGTCGCTTACCAGAAGGACCACCCGTAGTCCCAGGAATGGGGCCTCCAGTCTTCAGGGCCAAGGCTCACGGTGACCTGGAACACTTGTGTGTACATCATGTGAGCGACCATTCCCAGGAGGCCTGTGGGGGGACAGGGAGCAGAACATGTCAGGAAAGCAAAATGGGACTTTGTCCCCCTCCCCATGGTCCTCTCAGGCAGCCACCTGACTGTTGGTGCCAAGAGAGAGACGAACCCCTGGGTAAGGGAGGTCAGCAAGACCAGAGCAGAGACGGCCAGAGGGTGGCAGTGTTCTAGGCCAGGCCAAGGAGCTTGAGTTTGGTCCAGGGGGCAAAGAAGAGGAGTCCTGGAAAAGTTTAAGCAAGGGAAACGCAGAATCAGATCTGTGTGTAGATTGGCAAACTTTTTCTGTAAAGGGCCAGATAATAAATATTTCAGGCTCCCATGGGCCATGCAGTCTCTGTTGCAAAACAGCCATGGGCAATAAGTATATGAATGAGCATGGCTATGCTTCAATAAAACATTATTTACAAACACAAACACTGGGGGAAATTGGAACCCTTAGCCATTGCTGGTGGGAATGCAAACTGGTACAGCCGTTGTGCAGAACAGCGTGGCAGTTCCTCAAAAAAATTAAAAATGGAACTACTATATGACCCAGCAATTCCACTCCTAGGTATATACCCAAGGGACTTAAAAGCAGCAACACGAACAGCCACATATACATCAATGTTCACTGCAGCACTATTCACAATACCCAAAAGGTAGGAACAATCTGAATGTCCATCAACGAATGGATGGATAAACAAAATGTGGTACATGCCCACATTGGAATACTACTCAGCCATAAAGAGAAATGAAATCCTGACACACGCTACCACATGGATGAACCTCAAACACGCTATGCTGAGTGAAATAAGTCAATCACAAAAGGATAAATATCGTACGATCCCACTTACATGAAATGACAAGAATAGGCAAATGTATAGAGACCAGAGTTTATTACTGGTTACCAAGGGCTGGAGGAAGAGAAAGAGGGGAAGCCTAAGCTTGGAAAGTAGTGAGTTTCTGTTTATGATGATGAGAAATCTGGCATCAATTAAGGGTAATGATTGCAAACATGATTAACGTAACTGAAATCTCTAAGCCATGTACCTAAAAAAGGTTGAATTGGCAAATGTTGTGTGATAAATATTTTTACAACAACAAAGTAGCTGCTGATACTGCTTATATACAGCGAAACACCTCATGGGATTTGTTTACTTGGTTCGTAAGTTTAGGGTCATGACTTGTGGGACATTCCTGTCAATTGGCCTAATACTGTTTTTAGTGCTTCTGTTTGACTTCCTACTTCATTGTATAGTGCATGGGGTCTTAAAAGCTTGCAAGCAGCCATTCAAAGCACAACAGTTGGTCTCTATTTACCTGGAGCAGCAAAGAAGAAGGAGAGTCAGGAATCCAAGGAGGAACTGGAATGCATTTTTAATTGCCTCCATAAACAAGTGCCTCCTTTACCATTAGACCAGAAGAACCGGATGGTGCTGGCCACCATTACTGAACATTTTGATCAAATCCTGATCAAAAAGGTGAAAAAAATTTCAAATTCTCATGGAATCTGAACTTGCTGGAGCCACTGAGGCTAGATAATCCCCTGAAACTATTACCCTCAATTACTAACCTCAAACCTAAACTACCCCATGAAGTCATCTTTAAACCAAACAATAGTTTAGTTTAATTAGTAAGGAATGTTTGCCTTGAGTATTGTGCTCTTTTAAAGAATTATCTATATGTGAACCTTAGGGGGCAGTGAGTTCATGTTAATGGTGGTGAAATAATTTGGAAAATGATATTGAGAAAGGTAGCACAACTTGAAGAATGTAACCAATGTCACTGAAGTATATATGTAGAAACTGTTGAATTGGTGTATGATTTGCTGTGTGTATTTTCACCAAAAATTAAAATTAAAAGAAAAACAACAACAACAACAAAAAACTGGCATTGGGCCAGAGCTGGCTGAAATCAGCCAGGATAGGAATATTTACACCATAGAAATTGGCAAACACTACAAATCAGAGTTTGGTTTATTTTGTTTGTTTTCCCGGAGAGCCAGTTTTAAACATTTATCGTCAGACTACTGGAACACCTCAACATTGTTTTAGGTTTCATATTTCCCTTATTTTTGGTGAGTCAGGGCATTTTTTACATGTTTATTAACTACTCCTATCTCTTCTATGAATGTGCCTGTCTGTCTCTTTTGTCAATTTTTCTTTTGGTTTACTTATCTTTTTCCCTATCTATTTGTAGAAATTCTTTATATACTCTGGATATTAATCCTGTTTGTTGCATAGGCTATTGTAAGTTTACTGCTTGCTTTTTTTCCATGCACAGCACCTTATGTCATACGTTTTTACATTTGATATGGTCAAATTTGTCAGTCTTTTCCTTTTTGGTTTTTGATTACTGTGTCTAGGAAAACCAAGATCATAAACACATTATTCTATATTTTTCTAACATACTTACAGATTTTTATGTTAATCCACCTGACATTTATCTTGGTAAGTAGTGCAAAGTAAAGATCTCAATTTTTTTAAAACGAGTACTTAATTGCTTTGAACCATGGTCCATTTTTTCCCTACTGATTTGAAACAAAACCTTTATATCATATTCCAAGCTCCACATATACACAGGTCTACTTCCTTCTGCTCTACTGATACTTCTCTCTCTCTCTCTCACTTTCTCTCTCTCTGTTCCTATGCCAATACCACATTGTTTTAATCATCATAGCTTTAAAATGGAGTTTGTTATCTGGAAGGAAAAAGTCTCATTTTTTTATTACACCCAGTGCTCGTTCTCTCTAGGATTGCCACCCTACCCAGAAGCCCTGCCTATTCAGAAGGACCTTGATTCCTTCCTCAGCCTGTGCCAGTCCCTTTTCTGAGGACTGGACCTTGCTCTCCAAACCCTCTGCTGTTGCAGCTTCTTTAGTTTCTTCCACTCTATGCCAGTCAGCTTGCTGTCCGAGTTATGTGACCTCTCTGTGCCTTAGTTTCCTCATCTATAAAATAGAGATGGCTACAGAAATAGGAAATTCCAATGAGTGTCCACTAATGAAGAAAAACATTCATGAGAACGACCTTTCCTCATATAAAGACAGTAGGGACATAACAGTACTTTCATACACAAGAATTAGCAGCTAGATCCAGAAGCTGGACAGAACCCATTGGCAGAATAATTAATTTCCTGAATTCTTAGTTTGGAAGAGCATTGATTCCTGAATTGAATTCCCTTTATTCCCAAATATGAAAGGCCCTGCTTTAAGAAAATTCAATAAATGAAAATTACAATTCACTCAAAGATAGGTCAGTGAGATTCTCTGATTGCATTTTAAAGATTCTGCTTCAAAACTCTGATCCCCACTCAAACTTCTGGGAGCACGTCTGTTCTGTGAAGTCTGATCCACCCGTAAGCATCTGTCCTGTGATTCTTCAGCAGAAGGAATCGTTTCCAACTCATCTGAATAAAAAACGGACTTTCTGCTGAGTTTTTGCAACTCTGAAATTAGCGACGACCAAATGAATCAAACTTTCCTGCCGCTGCTACTGGGTCCTGGCTTGGACTCGCGTCAAGAAACCCATGGCTATAAATCTCTCTTGTCTTGTGATTTCTGGAATCTTCTGTCCTTCTGACACACCTGGTGGGGGGCCTTGGAGAGCTTTGCAAAGGGGGACGGGGTGGCCATGGGGCCAGAGCTGGGCTGAGTGTGGTGCCACCCAGAGCCCAGAGCAGGAAGAGCCATGGTGGGTCCTGGCCATACCCCACCCCACAAAACTTCACTGGTCAGATTGAGGGAGCTAAATTCTGTTGTCAAGTCCAGAGGGGCTGGTGTGGGACCAGAATTAAGAGACAATGCCAAGAGGGTCAGAATGTGACCCCCAAGTAAAGCAAGGGGGAGGCAAGGTGAGAGAGAAGATCCAGTTTCCAGCTCTGCAAGTTACCAGCTGTGTGACCTTGGGTAGGTTACCTCACCCTTCTGTGCCTCAGTTTCCTCACCTATAATATGAGGATAATAATAGTACCTACCTCACAGACCCACCACCTGTCTGTCAGTTTGTCTTTTGTGGTGGCTTGCATGTTGCTATGATACTGGAAGCTATGCCCCCGGTATTTCAAATACCAGCAGGGTCATCCATGGTGAACAGGTCTCATTGGCACTTCCAGACTAAGACAGACTAGGAGGAAAGGCCTGGAAACCTACTTCTCAAAATTAGCCCATGAAAACCCTATGAATCACAGCAGACTATTGTCCAGTATAGCGCTGGAAGATGAGCCCCCTAGGTTGGAAAGCATTCAAAATACACAGTGGCCACAACAAGGGACTTGAGCACACCACTGATCAGGAAGATGGCACAGGCTGGGCAAGTTTTTGTTCTGTGGTACATGGGGTGGCCACGAGTCAGGGTCGGCTCGACAGCAGCTAAGAACAACAGTCTCATAGCCTGATATGAGAATTACGTGATTCACATTTGTAAGACACATAATAAGCCCCATATAAGTGTTTTCTGGATGGATGAACGGATGAACAGATGAATGAATGAATGAATGAGACCCACTATATAGGACTACTAGACTGCATGCTAGCCCAGGGACAAGTCTGTTTTGCTCTCCACCGAACCCCTGCACCTAGCACAGTGCCTAGCACATTCAAACCAAATCTGTTGCCGTCAATTCCAACTCATAGTGACCCTATAGGACAGAATAGAATTGCCCCATAAGGTTTCCAAGGAGCAGCTGGTGGGTTCAGACTGCTGACCTTTTGGTTAGCAGCCTTAACACTTAAGCACTGCGCCACCAGGGCTCCCCCTAGCATATAGTAGGTGCTTAATGTGTGTTTGTTGAATGAATAATGGGCACCGATTACCAAATGGTTGGGGGTGCTTGGCTAGCTGGTATAAAGGTCTAGGGTCTGGTATATGGGAATGGGCTAGGATAAGGCCAGATGAGAAAACTCTGGCAAGCACACTGTCTACATGGGCAAACATCAGAGTCATCATTCATTCATCAATCAGTCAACAAATATCGATCAAATGCATTTCATGTGCCAGACACTTCCAGGGACAGAGAA